CCTTCAGAAGTTGGGGCCTAGGGTGCGCGCCCGCCATTAAATCCGTCTCTTACCCTAAGCTGCGAATAAACGAGCGTCCCTTAAATACAAATGCCAGATAAATATTGTAGAATGTTATCGATACACCTAGTAGGAAACTTTCAGAATAAACTCGATTTCCAAACTATGATCTAGCTAAATCCAGTCTAGTAGTATAAGTAAGCCATTGATAACGGAGCATTCATTTTTTTTTATTATATTAAGAAATGAAATAATTGATATTGAATTATTCATTAATAAAATGTAATTTTAGGTTTTTTAAGACAACCTTGTTTTTTGATTTAAATTTTGTTCCTAAGCCTCTGATCCAACACCCAAATTACCCATTATGAGTACAGTACATCCAGAGTCCGATTCTCTGATGTTATAACAGGAAGAAAAAAAAATCTAAGTACGGGAATTTAATATCAGAAATTTTTAAAAATGTTTTCATGAGTTTCTTGGATCTATTTCTGTTATTTCTGATCTAATTAAAGAAATATTTGGATTAAGTGATGGAAATAGATGATCTCTGAAGTTAAATAATTTATGCTAAAACTATTTAAAAAGTGCCGATATACGAATAAAGGAGATACAGTAAATGTAGAGAACGTACCACACCCTTTCGTGGTTGATCAGCTGATTTCTTATTTAATCAGCTGATTAAGTAACGATGATTCATGGACTAAGGATCGCTATCGGTCATATTCTGAATAATGTATATCAAATAATATTCATTTTTATAAATAGCAATAAAATTATTATGTAAAAAAAAAAATCGAAACGCAACGAAAGTTAAACACTAGAAATCTTTTATAAATTAAAAAATATAACGAAAGTTGAATTAAAAAAAAAAGAAATTTGAAGCTTATATTTATAAATTATCGTTAATAAATTTTAGATTTACGTCAATTTTATAAATACATTCGGAGATTTGGAAACATTTTCTGTAAAAAGTGACCTCTAGTGAGAGATTTTTTTTAGAAATTCAGCATTATCATTCCGATGTGTTTGGTATCGCCGTGGGTTACCGTCGTCGCAGACATTGGTGGTGTGCATGAGATCGTTCACATTGTTACTCTATTATATTTTATGCATGCAGTTTATGCTGTCTAAAAATTACTTGTGTAACCTACGAATATAAAATTTTTTATTTTTGCTGATTCGTTTTTTCCATCAAATTTTGATTGTTTAGTATGGCAAATGATAATAAGATTGATTTTCCTGTGTGGGGTTTGTTACCGAAGAGAGAAACGGGTGTTGCGGCATTTCTTAGCAAAAATCCCGAATACGATGGTAGGGGAGTAATTATCGGTATTCTGGATTCGGGTATTGATCCTGGTGCACCTGGATTGCAGGTAATTATTCATCTCTACCCTTTTAATCAATATTATTTAATTATTCAAATAATTTTTATTTACAGATATTTTTTTAAATCTCAAATAAAAGCAGTCTTATAGTAATCTTTATTTCTATTCATATATATGTATATGAATAGAAATAAATCTTTAAAAACTATAACCTTTTAAATGAGAGAATTATAATTATAGCATATCTTATGTAAAAATGATATGATTTACTTATTGGAACGTATTTATATATGGCTTATTGCAATTGTTAATGTTATTACTGTCGTATAGAGCAATGTAATTTTTCACATTGGATAAAATTTTGAATTATATATTTATGTAATTAAATTATTAACTTTTACTGCCCTTTGGTCACTAAGAGGGCCTTTTTTTTTTTATGCATGTTGTGGATTTGCTCGAGTCCAGAATGAGGCGACTGGGGACATTTACAATATATGTTCACTAGCATAGTGAGGGAGGCAAGGGGACCTATCGTGCCCCAGGCGCCACTTGTAGAGGGGTGCCAAATGGTATCCAAGACAAACAAAATTTGTTTCTGGAGGGTTAGGGGGTGCCAATAAAGTAATGTGCCCCAGGTGCCAGTTATGTTTGCTACGCCACTGCATGTGTGAAACAGATTGCTTGTGAAAAGTTCCTGGGAAGTTCTTGTCCAAATTCCTCGGAACAGTTAGGGTATGACTGTGCAGACGCCAGTGAGCAAATTTTTCAGGTGAGCGGGAATGTGTGGCGAGAAGAGGCGAGACACGATAAATATCAAACCCTGTCGGATATGTGCGAGAAGCAGAAATTCACTTGCGCCAGCGAGATTTCTCACTTCTTGCTTGTGCAAGTTTTTCTTTGCGCAAACTATATCGCTCGCTGCTGAATTTGTCTGCATAGTCGTATCCTTAGGCCAATACCTTTTGCTACCTTGGCCATATAGCCATCAATTAATGGTGTTTTTGTTAGTAGATAGTATGGATAGTATTAGAATAATTAACAGCTTAGCTCAGAANGTTGAATTAAAAAAAAAAGAAATTTGAAGCTTATATTTATAAATTATCGTTAATAAATTTTAGATTTACGTCAATTTTATAAATACATTCGGAGATTTGGAAACATTTTCTGTAAAAAGTGACCTCTAGTGAGAGATTTTTTTTAGAAATTCAGCATTATCATTCCGATGTGTTTGGTATCGCCGTGGGTTACCGTCGTCGCAGACATTGGTGGTGTGCATGAGATCGTTCACATTGTTACTCTATTATATTTTATGCATGCAGTTTATGCTGTCTAAAAATTACTTGTGTAACCTACGAATATAAAATTTTTTATTTTTGCTGATTCGTTTTTTCCATCAAATTTTGATTGTTTAGTATGGCAAATGATAATAAGATTGATTTTCCTGTGTGGGGTTTGTTACCGAAGAGAGAAACGGGTGTTGCGGCATTTCTTAGCAAAAATCCCGAATACGATGGTAGGGGAGTAATTATCGGTATTCTGGATTCGGGTATTGATCCTGGTGCACCTGGATTGCAGGTAATTATTCATCTCTACCCTTTTAATCAATATTATTTAATTATTCAAATAATTTTTATTTACAGATATTTTTTTAAATCTCAAATAAAAGCAGTCTTATAGTAATCTTTATTTCTATTCATATATATGTATATGAATAGAAATAAATCTTTAAAAACTATAACCTTTTAAATGAGAGAATTATAATTATAGCATATCTTATGTAAAAATGATATGATTTACTTATTGGAACGTATTTATATATGGCTTATTGCAATTGTTAATGTTATTACTGTCGTATAGAGCAATGTAATTTTTCACATTGGATAAAATTTTGAATTATATATTTATGTAATTAAATTATTAACTTTTACTGCCCTTTGGTCACTAAGAGGGCCTTTTTTTTATGCATGTTGTGGATTTGCTCGAGTCCAGAATGAGGCGACTGGGGACGTTTACAATATATGTTCACTAGCATAGTGAGGGAGGCAAGGGGACCTATCGTGCCCCGGGCGCCACTCGCAGAGGGGTGCCAAATGGTATCCAAGACAAACAAAATTTGTTTCTGGAGGGGAGGGGGTGCCAATAAAGTAATGTGCCCCAGGTGCCAGTTATGTTTGCTACGCCACTGCATGTGTGAAACAGATTGCTTGTGAAAAGTTCCTGGGGAGTTCTTGCCCAAATTCCCTGGAACAGTTAGGGTATGACTGTGCAGACGCCAGTGAGCAAATTTTTCAGGTGAGCGGGAATGTGTGGCGAGAAGAGGCGAGACGCGATAAATATTAAACCCTGTCGGATATGTGCGAGAAGCAGAAATTCACACGTTCCAGCAAGATTTCTCACTTCTTGCTTGTGTAAGTTTTTCTTTGCACAAACTATATCGCTCGCTGCTGAATTCGTCTGCATAGTCGTACCCTTAGGCTGATACCTTTTGCTACCTTGGCCATATAGCCATCAATTAATGGTGTTTTTGTTAGTAGATAGTATTGGATACNTAACAATATAATCTGTAGCATTTATCATTAATACCAATAATATACAAAATAATAAATTTACTATAAAATAACTATTAATATATAGAAAGGAGATCTGTCTAAAATGAGTATAATTAAATAAACCAATTAAATTAAAAGAAAAGCTTGTCTACAAGATAAGAAATATTAATAAGATGAACAAACTTTGGACAGAACATCCAAAAAAAGCAATAGAAAATCAGGATATGACTAGATAGTGACAAAGAAAGGTGCTATCTAAATTAAAAACAAGATCTTTTGAGTCTCCTTTATAAAACAAAATATCATAACTACATGAAATATCAACTATAATTTCAAGAAACAACTGATAAGAGATACTTCTATATCCAAAAAAAAAAATCTTGTCAAATTTGTCAATTGCAAGTATCTGTCAAATTTGAGATACTTGCAACTGACTAAGAAATCAAAAAATCTAGATAATTTTTTTTTCAAGCAAATATTAATAAGATTAACTTCACATAGAACTACTTGAAAATATGATTCTCTCACCAGTGAAGTGTGGTTCAACAAGAAAAAGCTGTTAAAAACTATTAAAGATATTTAAGTGAAAATACTGAAGTATTTATTTAAATGCATACAATGAATTTTGAATGAAAATAAAACAGATGGTGAATATATTTTTGTTGCTAGCAATTTTATGGAAAAAAGTTGCATGTAATCTATTACAACNGAATGAGGCGACTGGGGACATTTACAATATATGTTCACTAGCATAGTGAGGGAGGCAAGGGGACCTATCGTGCCCCAGGCGCCACTTGTAGAGGGGTGCCAAATGGTATCCAAGACAAACAAAATTTGTTTCTGGAGGGTTAGGGGGTGCCAATAAAGTAATGTGCCCCAGGTGCCAGTTATGTTTGCTACGCCACTGCATGTGTGAAACAGATTGCTTGTGAAAAGTTCCTGGGAAGTTCTTGTCCAAATTCCTCGGAACAGTTAGGGTATGACTGTGCAGACGCCAGTGAGCAAATTTTTCAGGTGAGCGGGAATGTGTGGCGAGAAGAGGCGAGACACGATAAATATCAAACCCTGTCGGATATGTGCGAGAAGCAGAAATTCACTTGCGCCAGCGAGATTTCTCACTTCTTGCTTGTGCAAGTTTTTCTTTGCGCAAACTATATCGCTCGCTGCTGAATTTGTCTGCATAGTCGTATCCTTAGGCCAATACCTTTTGCTACCTTGGCCATATAGCCATCAATTAATGGTGTTTTTGTTAGTAGATAGTATGGATAGTATTAGAATAATTAACAGCTTAGCTCAGAAATGAGTAGAAATTTTAATGATAAAAAATTGCAATGAACTCTGACGGGAGGTTCCCGACATTTTTATTTGTCTGCCACTTTCCATAACTAGTTTTAATTTTCCCGATTCCTTTCTATGCCGATAAAAGTAACAATAAATTAAAAATAGGATGAATAGAAACTTAAATAAGAATTAATAATAATTTTTTATTAACATTAATCAAAACTCAAATTTTATGTTTTAAAGGTGTCAATTATTATTATTATTATGTTATTATTTATATATTTTTTAAAATATAATAGAAAAATAAATTTATTGCAAGTCTCTGATAATATAATAACCTCAGATATATTGAGTGATTCTTTGGGGTCACTAGTAACTATACTGGAAACCCCCAGTTGTTTATTTAATCTGAAAGTGGTTAAATACAGAATCATTTTTATTGTATATAAAACTCATTTTGTGAAAAATTATTATCAGAAGCAGTGATTTTTATTGATAAAAAAGTTTAAGCATCTTGTGAATTCACACTGAATATTCATTAATCAAACTTTTTATTAATATAAATTTAATATACTAAAATCTTAATATACAGGATGGGACAAAAATCAGTTTAACAAAAGTTCATGATATATTATTAAAAATAATAAACACTGTAATTTCTATATGCCATTCATTTTCAATTTAAAAGTTTAATTTTTGAAATAAACATTAAAACATATTAATCAATATAGAAGAGATTGAAGAAAACAAAACAAAACAAAAAGTAAGAAAAAAGGTGCAATCTCAAATAGAATGTGAAGCAAAAGTCAGTTTTCAAAAAGTATATTAAACAAAGTATGTAATTCACAAATTTTTTCCTTCCATGTGTAGTAGTAATTAGTCATTTCATGCATTTTTATAATTTTATTAACTTTTAGTTTATTACGTTTATAAAGTTTATGAATCTTTAAATTTCTTCCACATATAATAAACTTTTCAGATATTTTGTGAGAGANAACAGCTAAATCAAGATGATCGCTTTCAACGAGATGAACTTGAAGCAAGGGTTGATGTTCTCAACTCATTAGATAAAAAGTATAATGATCTTGGCCCAGTTTATGATTGTGTTGTATTTCATGATGGAAATACTTGGAAGTAAGAATTTTTTCTTTATTTTAAAAATTATAAAGTTTTATAGTTTATAATTATTTTTAATTTTATAATTAAAAGAACAAAAATTTTTTATTAATGTAATTAATTTTAGCAAAACCCAAATATTTTCTATTATTAAAAAATGTTTAGAAATTTGTCCTTCTAAATCAAATTCTACTTAATTTGAACCAATTTTGTTCATTTTGCCACTAAGTGTTACAGCCAAAATCAAAAATAAATCAGGCATTTATTTTTAAAAGTATGACATATTTGTAAAATTAGTGTGCACTACACATTTCAACATAAATGTGTGTGTTCATTTGTAATCTATATTTACTTTCTTTTTGTTGTATATAACATTGCTAATTTAAACTCATCTGAATAACCCCAGCAATAATTAGTTTGGATTAGTGAGAGTCTACAACATGTAATGATTAAAAGCAACATACAGATACTGAAAAGTTTGTATTTAAATACATTTATGATTAGAANGCTCTATAAGAATTTTTTCATTATATGTTATTTAAATCATTTTAAAAACTTTGCTTCTATTAAAAATTGAGGAAAAACTGATATAATTAAATGTTTGCAATTAAAATTATATTTTATCATTATTAAATTATAATGATGATAAAACATTTTAACATATTAATTGTTAAATTAATTTTTTAAAATAGAAAACTAGTGATGGAAAGCCAAAAATTATTGACATGATGGATGCTTCTGGGGCAGGAGATGTTGACACATCTAAAATAGTAGAGGCAACAGATGGAGAAATTGTTGGATTGACTGGAAGAAAATTAAAGGTTAGTAACAACAGTGAGCATTAATAGTTTAATATTTAATATATTTTCAATAGTCAAGTGAAAAAAATACTGCCAAATATACAGTAGTTATCAAGTTTTGTTTGAAAAGTTACAACAATGATTTTCAAATGTGTATAAACATCCACTAACCCAATTTTTAATTAAAGCCAAATGATCCACCAGATTATTGGACTATTTTAGCTTTAAAATAGGCCCAATGATCTGGTTGATTTATTGACTTTATCCAATGATATAAAATAAAATTAAAACAGTGGGATTTCTTTTTTGTTTACATTCTTGTTTAGAAATCCATAATACTTTCTTTAATGTTTTTGAATTTTATAAAACCATAAAAATAAAAAGATTCTGGAAATAGTCTTTTTTCCATATATGCTGAAATACCAGATCTAAATTTTGGAGACCAACCATTGCTTAAGTTCCTCTTTAATTAAATTTGGGAAAAATAACTGACTGCTAGTTAAGATAGCTACAATATCTACAAGCTAATTAATTACAAAGTTTATTGGTAATTTTATATTGTGGGTATGGGTTCATGGGTTGCATTGCTTTGCCTGTCACATTCTAATGTCATGCTTTTTTGCATAGCAGCATTTTGCATCAGATCCAAAATAGCACACAAATTTAAATCTAAAATTAAAAAACAAAATTTATTAGAATTTAACAAGAATGATTGTGCTTAAAAAATGACTATTATTAAAAATGATAACAAAAAGACATTATTTATTATTATTATTATTATTATTACTTTTTGCTATTTTTGTAATTATTGCTAAAAGCACAATTTTAAAATTTCAAAATTAATAATTATTTGAAGTTAACATGACTAACTTTTCTAAAACATTTACAAATAAGCACTTTTTCTTATTTTTGTTACATTAAAATACACTATTTTTAAAAAATTCAAAATTAAATGATTTACCTAAACTGTTAGTTACATACTTTTAATTTTGTTNCTATTTGTAAGTAAAAATTGAAAGTGTCTGTAAAAGTAATTTTTTAAAATATCCTGTTTTGTGATAAAGTTTTAATACTTATTATTATAATCTAGACACGTTAATCCTTAAATATACTTGTATATTCGGCCACAAGTATATATTATGTATACTTGTGGCCCAAAACTCCTTGACTTCTTCCAATGCGGCCCAGAGAAACAAAAAGGTTGGACACCCCTGCTTTAAGGTTTTTAAGTCCCATGCTTTTTTCTATCATAAATATACTGCCACGCTGTTGGAAGCACATTAACATCCTTGGTATTTAGGCAACAGTTTTTCATTTACTTTTATATATTTTCATCTTTTCCATCTCCAATGCAATGGATGGAGAGCGGACTGTTTTAATGACTTTTGCTTCATTCCATTTTACAATTGCTCCTTCTGTTTGTGCCATAATTGCCAATACTGTGTTGTGCCCTTTATCAATGTTGTATTTGTGTTCTCGCAGACATATCGTCAGGTTTCTTCTAGTTACACCCACATAATCCTTTGTTAATCCTAACTGTTGATTTTCAAATGGTATTTTATAAATTCCAGCTTTCTCTTCTGTTTTTACACTGTCTTTATCGTTCCTTAGTAAGCTATAACTTTCTTGAGATGGTATTGAACGTTGGTACAATATAAAAATGCTCTTCTGATGAGTGCTTTAAATGCTGATAATTTATATTTATATGGGTTGTTGGACCAAGATGGTATGTAGAGAGGAGCATGTGTGGGTTTTAAATACACTGCTCTTTGTACATTTCCTTATTTAAATATTATATCTTTTATATTGTACCAATGTTCAGTACCATCTCAAGAAAGTTATAGCTTACTAAGGAACGATAAAGACAGTGTAAAAACAGAAGAGAAAGCTGGAATTTATAAAATACCATTTGAAAATCAACAGTTAGGATTAACAAAGGATTATGTGGNCAATGGATGGAGAGCGGACTGTTTTAATGACTTTTGCTTCATTCCATTTTACAATCACTCCTTCTGTCTGTGCCATAATTGCCAATACTGTGTTGTGCCCTTTATCAATGTTGTATTTGTGTTCTCGCAAACATACTGTTAGGTTTCTTCTAGTTACATCCACATAATCCTTTGTTAATCCTAACTGTTGATTTTCAAATGGTATTTTATAAATTCCAGCTTTCTCTTCTGTTTTTACACTGTCTTTATCGTTCCTTAGTAAGCTATAACTTTCTTGAGATGGTACTGAACATTGGTACAATATAAAAGATATAATATTTAAATAAGGAAATGTACAAAGAGCAGTGTATTTAAAACCCACACATGCTCCTCTCTACATACCATCTTGGTCCAACAACCCATATAAATATAAATTATCAGCATTTAAAGCACTCATCAGAAGAGCATTTTTATATTGTACCAACGTTCAATACCATCTCAAGAAAGTTATAGCTTACTAAGGAACGATAAAGACAGTGTAAAAACAGAACAGAAAGCTGGAATTTATAAAATACCATTTGAAAATCAACAGTTAGGATTAACAAAGGATTATGTGGATGTAACTAGAAGAAACCTAACAGTATGTTTGCGAGAACACAAATACAACATTGATAAAGGGCACAACACAGTATTGGCAATTATGGCACAGACAGAAGGAGTGATTGTAAAATGGAATGAAGCAAAAGTCATTAAAACAGTCCGCTCTCCATCCATTGCATTGGAGATGGAAAAGATGAAAATATATAAAAGTAAATGAAAAACTGTTGCCTAAATACCAAGGATGCTAATGCGCTTCCAACAGCGTGGCAGTATATTTATGATAGAAAAAAGCATGGGAGTTAAAAACCCTTAAAGCTTGTAATAGTTATACTTAGCCTTGTTTACTATGTTTTTATTTATTTACATTATTTTTTTATTGGCCTCTTCTATCTGAGGAAATTGTGTACCAAAGCCAGACGATGGAAATATATAAAAGTAAATGAAAAACTGTTGCCTAAATACCAAGGATGCTAATGCGCTTCCAACAGCGTGGCAGTATATTTATTGTATTTATTTATTTTTCATTAATTTAATATACACAATTATTTTAAATTTTTTAAATTTAAAATGAAACTATTTGAAAAAACAATGCATTCCATTCTGGAATGGTTTAATCGTAATCCTGAAGATGGCCTATATTTAAGTAGGTTGAAAACATTAGAGAAATAAAATGGTTTGTGCTCAGCAAAGAATTCTGGTGTGCTGATAAAATTAACATTTGACATATAATTATAAGTGTTTTATGAAATTAATTTAAACAGTGAAATAAATTTAAATGAATAGAAATCTTCTAATAATAAAATAATCTTCATTCTTTTCATACTATTTGCAATTAGTTTTTGTGTTTAAAATATTCTTATGGAACTAATGGTGATAAACAAGCTTTTTTTAAGTATTACATTAATATAATGCTGTTCTATTATTCAATTAGTTTATAGACTTATATCTTTATAACTAAATATGTTTAATTTAATATAATATTAACAATAAATAAATACGAAATTATGATTAATTATAGATTCCTTCATCTTGGATAAATCCTAGTGGAAAATATCATATAGGAATTAAAAATGCATATGATTTATATCCAAAATCATTAAAAGAAAGAATTCAGGTAGCCAACTATAATTTAATTAACTTTTTACATTTTAATGTAATAAATTATCAAAAAACATTTTATAGAAATTATTGAAATAACAAACTACAAAAGTTTTTCTGTATAAAATTTCAGAAAGAGAGAAAAGAAAAGCAATGGGATCCAAATCATAAATTATTATTAGCAGCTGCAATTCGTGAACTTCAAGAATTTGATGATAAACATCCAAACACTAATCAGGTGGATTGAATAAAATAAGTTTGTTATAATTTTAATCAAAAAATAATTTTTAAATTATTTGTTTTATATTTTTTGATTTTTAAAAACCATAATTTAAAAAAATTTATTTTAAAACTTGCTACTGTATTTATAGCACAATAGTGTTTTTAAAATATAATAAAGAAAATAAAATGCATATTCAGATACAGGTAGCCCTTGGTTTACGCCGGTTCAATTTACGCCGATTCACAATAATGCCTCTGCACAATTCGCGATTTTGCTGTGTAATTCCCCGATTTTCCCTATGCCAGACTGATTTTCATTTCAGTGTTGATGTATTTACCGAGCCGCGACATTGTACATTCGTTAAAACAAAGATTTTTACTGAATATATTTATTTTTTTTGTTTAATATTATTGGGTATGTATACATTTGCATTAAATTAATATTAAAATACTAAACGTTTAGGTACCCACGAGTCAAGTTATCAAACTTAATAGTCCAATANCTTATATCTTTATAACTAAATATGTTTAATTTAATATAATATTAACAATAAATAAATACGAAATTATGATTAATTATAGATTCCTTCATCTTGGATAAATCCTAGTGGAAAATATCATATAGGAATTAAAAATGCATATGATTTATATCCAAAATCATTAAAAGAAAGAATTCAGGTAGCCAACTATAATTTAATTAACTTTTTACATTTTAATGTAATAAATTATCAAAAAACATTTTATAGAAATTATTGAAATAACAAACTACAAAAGTTTTTCTGTATAAAATTTCAGAAAGAGAGAAAAGAAAAGCAATGGGATCCAAATCATAAATTATTATTAGCAGCTGCAATTCGTGAACTTCAAGAATTTGATGATAAACATCCAAACACTAATCAGGTGGATTGAATAAAATAAGTTTGTTATAATTTTAATCAAAAAATAATTTTTAAATTATTTGTTTTATATTTTTTGATTTTTAAAAACCATAATTTAAAAAAATTTATTTTAAAACTTGCTACTGTATTTATAGCACAATAGTGTTTTTAAAATATAATAAAGAAAATAAAATGCATATTCAGATACAGGTAGCCCTTGGTTTACGCCGGTTCAATTTACGCCGATTCACAATAATGCCTCTGCACAATTCGCGATTTTGCTGTGTAATTCCCCGATTTACCCTATGCCAGACTGATTTTCATTTCAGTGTTGATGTATTTACCGAGCCGCGACATTGTACATTCGTTAAAACAAAGATTTTTACTGAATATATTTATTTTTTTTGTTTAATATTATTGGGTATGTATATATTGCATTAAATATTATTGGATTATACATTTGGGTAATATTATTGGGTATGTATACATTTGCATTAAATTAATATTAAAATACTAAACGTTTAGGTACCCACGAGTCAAGTTATCAAACTTAATAGTCCAATAAATGGCGTCTGAATCCATAGCGCGATTGAATTTATCTCGTATCAGTTCGTTCAGGAAAACATTTTACGACGCAGTAGCACTTCCGGCGATCACAAACTATCGTTAGTGAGACAAATCTACTTCTCGTTGGCCAGACAATATCTATCTCTCCTTAATTTTCCTGCTCAAACTGACCTTACATATGTGCTACGGCGACCGGTGGTCGACCAATCAGTGTCTCTGCTCATCCGTAGCTCTACGTATGGTTAAACTATCTTTTCGACTATGGAAAGCTTGACGATTGAACTTTGTGAGTTAGACAATGATTGGGAGTGAAGTGTGAATGTAAAAAGGAGCATCGTCACATCTTTTTGACCATATTCCGAAATTCTCAATGAAAGAAAACAAAAATGTAAACAATTAAAGATGGATACTTTTTCCGAAAAATGTAATAGATCTGAAACTAAAATTTTTAATTAAAACATTTAACTTTATTTTATGATAAAATACATTTTAAAAATTTATTTGTACTTTGTATTATATTGTATTAATAAACAAAATTATTTGCGTATTTTTCACTTATGTGGAACCTAACCCTATACCTCAGTGTAAATATGGGTTCGTTTTACGCCGATTCGATTTGTGCCGGCTTTTGTAATTAGGGCTACCTGTAATTATCTCTTTATATCTTTTAAAGATATGTCATTTCAAAAGCTGAATGATACTAGATAAAATTTAAGAAAGATAAATTGTTTGATTGTTTTAATTAAATTATAATTGCAAAAATATATAAAATATAAAACATTAGAAAATAATAATAATAATGTTTTTAAGCACTGAAGGTACAAATGATGTGGAGATTACATACAAAATTAAAAATAAAATAAAAATCATATCATTACAGCATCACAATAACAATATAATCTGTAGCATTTATCATTAATACCAATAATATACAAAATAATAAATTTACTATAAAATAACTATTAATATATAGAAAGGAGATCTGTCTAAAATGAGTATAATTAAATAAACCAATTAAATTAAAAGAAAAGCTTGTCTACAAGATAAGAAATATTAATAAGATGAACAAACTTTGGACAGAACATCCAAAAAAAGCAATAGAAAATCAGGATATGACTAGATAGTGACAAAGAAAGGTGCTATCTAAATTAAAAACAAGATCTTTTGAGTCTCCTTTATAAAACAAAATATCATAACTACATGAAATATCAACTATAATTTCAAGAAACAACTGATAAGAGATACTTCTATATCCAAAAAAAAAAATCTTGTCAAATTTGTCAATTGCAAGTATCTGTCAAATTTGAGATACTTGCAACTGACTAAGAAATCAAAAAATCTAGATAATTTTTTTTTCAAGCAAATATTAATAAGATTAACTTCACATAGAACTACTTGAAAATATGATTCTCTCACCAGTGAAGTGTGGTTCAACAAGAAAAAGCTGTTAAAAACTATTAAAGATATTTAAGTGAAAATACTGAAGTATTTATTTAAATGCATACAATGAATTTTGAATGAAAATAAAACAGATGGTGAATATATTTTTGTTGCTAGCAATTTTATGGAAAAAAGTTGCATGTAATCTATTACAACTGTACATCTAATTATTATAAAATATTGGTTAATTACTAGTAGGGTTTATCATTTCTGGTCTTTTGCTTATCCCAGGATTCCAGAAAAAAGTGAACTGTTTCCCAGGATTCCAGGATATAATTAATTATTTTTAAGATATAAAATAAATCTTAAAATTGAATGATGATATTATTTTTCATTTTTAAGTAACTTAATATGTCCTGCAATCTCCAAAATAATAATAAAAATAATGCTGTGTAAAATATGCATAAAAATTACTTTTGAATTACATAGAAATTTTCACAAATAGAAAAGATTTATTAAAGTTTGTTGGAAACTGCTTACAACAAAAATGCCTTTGAATTGAGTTTAAAATTTAAAGAAAAAAATGAACTTAGATCAAACTTATAAGTTAGAAGGTAATTTTCTTTATTTAAATAAAACCTAATACAAAATATTATTGTAAATTTTTATAATATTTTTAAAAGCAAGATTAAGTACAATTATTCCAGATATTACAGGTTCTGACAAGCAAAGAATTTTCAGAGTCCTGCCACAAATAGGCTACATATTGATTATTGACAATCTGTGACATGCCATAATAAGCAAAAATTTAAAAAACTAATAAGCAAGCTTAAAATTAATAAATACAAATATATTCTGATGGTTTATGAGTTAATTATACTTTCTATTTACAAAATTTCATCAACATTAACACAAAATAAGAAAAAAAGTGAATTTTTAAGAAATTTGCAGGATTTCCTGGGTTAAAAAACAGCTGGGATCCTGTTGGAGAAACCCTAATTACTAGTATGTGAAATACAGTTATGTGGAAACTTGAAATGATAAATTAGTCAGTCAATTTCCAATTTATTGAAAAGAAGCCAGAAATTTAAAAAATAAGATAAATTTGTATATACCTGATTTAATGGTTTCTTGTACCTTCAATTTATTTTATTACAATAATATCATAAATATTATGGTACATGTTATGAACACTTATGTTCAAATCTTGCATTTATAACAACATGATCTAGCTATGTCTTCATATTAAATTTAACTATAGTAGGAGTGGTTTTAGCAAAATATCCTGTTTTTCCATGGGTTATGGAGAACCGTAGGAAAAAGGCAATGTATAAGGCCCATCCAAAAAAGTTTTGAAATATAATATATTATTATTAAATAATAAAATAAATATTAAATATTATACTAAATACATTTTGAACTGTGGAAAAAGCAGTTCAAAATGCATTTAGTATAAATAAATCTTTTCTGTTATAAATGAAAAAAAAAAAAGGACTGTTATAAAGATCAAAGTGATTTTTGTTTTTCTAAAGTACCTTCTTTTTGAAAATTTTTAGGATTACATATATATCTTAAATGTTTTAATTGATCTTAAATCTTTTAATTGATTGAATAAACATGCTTTATTATTTGTTTTAAGAATCTGATTTGTAACTTCATAACCCATAATGGGTCTTTACTAACCAATTTGTAAATTTAGAATTTGTCAGTATTTAAAATTTTTAATTTGTCAAATGTGAAAATACAGATGGAAATATCTAAATCAAATACAAATTTTTTTTATTATTATAATTGTTGTATACTGAAGACTTTTAAATTGTATAAATTATAATTTGTTATTTTTAACAGCTAAATCAAGATGATCGCTTTCAACGAGATGAACTTGAAGCAAGGGTTGATGTTCTCAACTCATTAGATAAAAAGTATAATGATCTTGGCCCAGTTTATGATTGTGTTGTATTTCATGATGGAAATACTTGGAAGTAAGAATTTTTTCTTTATTTTAAAAATTATAAAGTTTTATAGTTTATAATTATTTTTAATTTTATAATTAAAAGAACAAAAATTTTTTATTAATGTAATTAATTTTAGCAAAACCCAAATATTTTCTATTATTAAAAAATGTTTAGAAATTTGTCCTTCTAAATCAAATTCTACTTAATTTGAACCAATTTTGTTCATTTTGCCACTAAGTGTTACAGCCAAAATCAAAAATAAATCAGGCATTTATTTTTAAAAGTATGACATATTTGTAAAATTAGTGTGCACTACACATTTCAACATAAATGTGTGTGTTCATTTGTAATCTATATTTACTTTCTTTTTGTTGTATATAACATTGCTAATTTAAACTCATCTGAATAACCCCAGCAATAATTAGTTTGGATTAGTGAGAGTCTACAACATGTAATGATTAAAAGCAACATACAGATACTGAAAAGTTTGTATTTAAATACATTTATGATTAGAATATTATAGAAATATAATTACTTATTTTGAAGTAATTTTGTTGGGCATATTATGAATTATTTCTAAATATTTAAATATATTTATAATAATTATGGCAATCATTATTCTACACAGCTGAAAACAGTTTAATGATCCAACAGATCAGTTATCTGTCATCTTTCAAATTTTTAATAGATCACCCTCTCTCTCTACTTTTGATCACAAAATGAATTTTAAGGTTTTCATACTTAAATAATTAATATCCTTGAAAACAAAAGAGAGTTAAAAAATTATATAAATCATAATTAATTATTAAAATTGTAACTATTGATTTAACTTAAATTTTAATTTATTTTTAATATATTTTGATTTCAGTAATGCAGATAAATATAATACAATGCAAAATTTAAATTTTTAATACATTCAATTGAAAATATTAATATAAAAGCAATTTATTATTGAAAATAACAATCAATCAAAAATTTTAAATAAAGATATAAGTATGCTTTTAATGTTAGAATAAATCAATTTACAGAATTTTTACTTATTAAATTGGCACAAAGGATCAAAATTCATTCATTGAAATTTAGATTCTTTAATATTTATTGTCTTAAATTATTTCATTTAGTTATATTAATGTTTAAATTATCATTAATTCAAATTTTTTAGCATCAATGAATTAAGTTGGTATTAAGCTTTTGCATTAAGTAAATTTATAGACAGAAATTATCGTGTATATATTCAGTTGATCATTTTTCACAATTTTTGCCTATAAATTTGAAATGAAATTTAAAAATGGAAGAAGATTGTTTGTTAATTAAGGCAACCAAATGGAAAAGTTTTGGCTTATATTCAGCCATTTTCAGGTTTGATCTGAATAAAGTAGTTTTGAAGAAATGAAAATTATTTTATGCTTCACTGGCATGACTTAACTTTTGTTATTTTGAATTTGTTTCAGTTTCTATAAATGAAAAGTTAATGTATGCTTGAACTTAAAAAGTAGGTTAAAATCATTATAGTTGTCATTATTTGATTTGCTAATTTTCATCTAATTAGATGTTATATGTCAAAATAATTAATACACTATGTATAATTTAGTCCAAGCATTTTATTAATTTTGAATATTTTTTTGAAACCAACTTAATAGTATTTACAGTACAGACAAAATTTGTACAAAGGATCCTTAAAATAATTGTAAAACATTTAAAAATAACAATCTAAATAGATATTTTAAATTTTTCATTACTAGTGTTAGATAAAATTAATGATAACTTTATTGTTGGGAAAAATATTTGGCTAATTAATATTCAATTTTTGAAGCTAGAGCAAATACTTAAGGGACTAAAGGAACTATAAATCAGTAAATGTTTAATTTGGAAGTTTTTTATTTAGATTAATTTTTAAAACATCAAGTTAAATTTTCATTACATTAATAATTTTATACTACTTTCCATGATTTAAATATAGTGAAGGTAGACTTTAAAGTATTTGAAGTATTCTGTATACAGTAAACCCTCAATTTAACAGACAAAAAATTTCTGTCCTTTAATGAAAAATTCTAAACTATTTTTATTTGCAAATAGAGCATGCTACAAGGTTGGAATAATGAGTCAATGAGCATAAATTACTCACTGTACATTATATTATTATTTTATTTATACCTTTGCATCATAATAACATCTTAATGCATCTTGCATATTGTAAGTGTGTAGTGGAAATATAGAACAACACATTCAATTTAATAGATGTTTGGGAATAGCAAGCATCTCTTCTCCTAATTAGTCCATTAAATTGAAGGCTTACTATACTAGTATGTTCATATTTTTCATTAAATAAGTGATTACAGCAATTATTGAATTTTATTACACAAGTTAAAACTGTGTTGCTGTGATGATATCTTACAAGTTGTGTTACAATTACAAACTTCTAATTACAGTGAGAAGTTGGTATAATGAATGTCAGTTTAATGAAATTTTCAGTATAATGAATATACAGTCGACCCCCCCATAACACAGGTTCCTATAGTTCAGATTCCTATATCACGGCGAAAAAATTGCGACAGTATTCGTACAAACATGCTAAAAAAACTCCTATAATTCGGTAAAATGTCATCACAGACTTGTGTCGCGACAGGATTGCACAAACTGTTGAGTTTAAACGAGCAGTGGACCTACTAAAAACCATTTATTTAACATCCATAAAAATTATATTTATCTTAATGATGTCTCTAAAGTTCAGCAAATTTTTCGCAAAAAAAATAATTTATCAGGAAGCACACGAGTGCCATTCGATGACAATCTCCATGATGAAAACAAGCTTAATCAATGGTGTAGTTGAACGGTGCACACTTGGTAAGTAATCCTACAATTTTTTGTTTATAGCATAGTTTATATGGATTATTCCCAAAAAATTATATGTATTTTGGAAATGTTGAGTCAAATTAGACTAGAATCGATTAATTTTATGGAAGAAACCTTTCAAACAGCTGTAGTCCGTAAACTGCATATGTGCCGGGTGTGATTGACTGGACTTGTAAAAGCTGGATTCATAAAACTTGGAACGTATATACCGTGTTATAGGGGGGGTTGACTGTATCTTGACTCCCCTGCCAATTTCCTGTTCATCTCAATGCAAAAATGTTTCAATTTAATGAATATCATTATAACAAAAATTTCAGTTTAATACTGTATAATAAAAACTCTGTCCATTATGAAAGAATAGTTTCATTATAATGAAATCTATAAATGTATAAATCATTCATTATTAGTATATGAGTATTATTATGTCATATAGTCTGGGAACATTAATTTTAATGTATAGTTCAACTGGCAATACTAATTTTAATCCTTGGTTATAGTTTCATTTCGATGTTATTACTCTACAGTTTATTTCTTTAAGTTTATGAGAAAAAATAAAAAACTAAAGCAGTTTTCTTTGGAAGAGAATAATAAAATATTAGATAACATGCAAAAAGGAATTAACAAAATGATGTGCCTGATGGCCTACTGGAATGATCTTACAATATTGTATTTTATTGATAAAACTTCAATTAAAGAAACAACATGCACAAAATTTAGACCAGAAAATAATGGCTTCAAGCAGAAATAATAGAGGTAGGATTGCAACTAATATCGGTATTACTATATCATTATTTTAGTTGTTTGTTCATGATATTTTTTGATTTTTTATTACAGATTAATTTTTATTTTAATTTAATATAATTTACTTTCTGAAAATTGAAATTTTGTTCCATATACATAATAGACAAATTGCATTTTTAAAAACTTTCTTATTTCAAAATATAAGTTTTTTTTTTTATCTTAATAATTATTAAATTTCTTTTATCCATGCATTTTGAGGAAGACCATTGAAAATATTTTGATGGTCTTCCTCAATTTCATTATACTGACATTTCACTGTATTAGTGCAACTTTACTATTGTGTATTGATAATATTTCAACATATTTGAGAGAAAAATTGGTGGAATTTTCATGCTCAAATACAGTATAATTTTTCAGTTTATGTTTAGTTTATAAATATACATTGATAATAATTTTGATCTGTTTTTAATAATTTGCTTTATAAACAGTACTTCAGGAGCTTATTATTCTCATATTATCAAATGGAATTTAAAATAAATAGAAATTAATTTTTATTTATTTCAAATTTCATTCTATAATTTACATTTACATTTTTACATTTATGTAATATAATTTATTATAACATTCTAAAGTGTTTCAAAAAATTAACATTTAAATTTTTAGAGCAGCAGTGGATATAAGTGAAACTGGAGATCTTGAATCTTGCACTTTACTTAGTTCATATCGTGAAATGATGCAATATGCTGTTCTAACTTCTAAAGGTAAAGGCTTTTATATTTAATATGTATAAAAATTATAATAAGTAAACCATTTCATTCCAGATTTTTATTTGAAAGTTTTTGTAATCATTCCATATAAGTAGTCTTGTGCCAATGCATTAGCTACTTTCAAGAATTAAAATATAATAAATATAATTTCATTTTTCATTATTTATTAAAGAAGTTTTGTTTTACAATTATAAATAACACAATTTCAGTATTTAACAGATTCTAATAAAACTCTTTAAACATTTAGTATGCAAGTTATATTAAGAAACTAAAATTTAAAAAAATAAAATTATACTTCTTTACTCTTACTTTACTATATACTAAGTTATGCTATACTACTATATACTCTTTACTATATACTCCTACAATTAAACAGGATCTCTGAAGATAGAAATATAGAAAAAATTGTGCATTTATCAGATTTGGTTTAAAAAGCAGAAAAAGACTGGAATTAGAACCAACAAACTGGAATCAATTAGAATAAACTATAATAATAAAATATTGCAAATCTTAATGAGTGAATCTTTCTGAACTAACAATGATGCAATTAAACTTGCTATTATGTAAGGCTAATTTGTTGGGAAAATATTCCTTTTTTAAATTTTTTAAGTATTATACATTTCATTCTTGACCATTTTATCAAGTGTATATATATATATATATATATATATATATACTTTATATATGAAACAAACACGAAAAGTGATAAGGGATGACAAGCAGATTCAAGACTTTAATAACACTGTCTGATACAATGATGCCTTTGTAAGGGACAAGTGAAGGACAGGTTACAACGTATTTATTTTTCAGTCTTGCCAACGTCCGTCACCATAGTCCAGATCGCTGAACTCAACATTTATTTATAAACGTAACAGATAAGAGTCTGAGAGTTGCTTAATGTATAGACAAACGTAATGGTCATCTGTAGAATCCAAATCTAATTATGGTTAAAAGTTTAGAACGGGGTCAGACCCTCTCGATTACAAGGCGCCATATATGAAACACGAGTACAGAAAGGAAACTGTTGTTGTGTAAAATCGATGAATGCATCGTTGTCGTGTCACAATTACATATCGAGATGTTATATATGATATATTATACTTCCTATACTGGTTATCGATATATTAATTTGTAAAAATTAACTTAAAAAAAACGTGTAAATGTATCTAATTTTGTCCAGTTCTTAAACTAG